CTGCTGATAAATGGAGCTAATTATTTAGCGACAATTTAAGTGTCCTGTTATGTAACCCCAGATGCTTTAAAAGTGTAATTGTTTGGGCAAATATACAATTCCTTGTAAGTCGCAGATGGTCTAGCTATCTAAATATCTGGATTTTATTCCAAAGACATCTTTCACGGACCGCTTTATTCCAAAGAAAAAATTGGTCTGCTTCTGAAAACAACATAATCAGGATTCACACTCACCTGTCGTTGAATGCACGTCTACTCGTACCCCGCAATTCCGCTGGCAAATACACACGTAGGCATGAATGAAAGTTAATTTTTCGGCCGCCTCGCTACCATCGTAATCGACATGTACATACATGAGCAAACATTTTCTATATAATTTATACCTTTATTTTACTATTAGAAAAAAAGCATGTAGATCTTACAATAGACATGAAATATTTTTTCATTCATTGCACAGTTGTCAAATTCAGGAGCAAAATGAAAGGCTGAATTGATTTTGCCATCTAGAAGGATATCTTGACGGTGGCAAAACATACACGTTTAGACGTTTGACGAACTCACCTAAGTACACAGTAATAAATGAAGCTACTAACAAGTGACTGCACGTCATGATCTTAGTAGGAATTAACAACACGACTATTGTACTTTATGAATTAGTTTGGAATTTATACGCTGTCAGTCAGAGCAATTAACCAGCACTAGGAATATTACCAAGAGTGATATCATATCAAAACACACATTCTGTAATATAAACTATCTCAATTTGTCCAACGCGCAACCAGTTTCAGCAATTTGAACAAGCACATGGGTCATCCTGTTCAATGTGGTTTATGTGGTTTATGTTCTATTCACAAAGCACTGTTTATAACATCAGTTTAAAACACCTGAAATAGCAGTAACCCAACGTCGAGTGATTTACTCAATTTCTTTGAGAGATGTTACCGTAAGTTGATTTTTTCTAAAGGGTTAGATAAGCTTTGATCTGTAATGCTTGCTCTCTAAGATGAATCATCGTCTGAATGAGATGTCTGATGAGACAAGCGGAAAAACTTCCTACGATTCTCAGAAGTCAAAAATATATATAAAATGCTCCTCCAAATATAATGACCAATTTGAAGACTAACAATTTGGGCAATGTAAAAACTCTTGGATTAAGAACAGTCAATAAAATCATTGTAAATTACAAAGAGCTTTTTTGATTGAGAATTCACACGACGTTGGTAAACATGAATGTCTACTTAAGGAATCAAACAAATTCAAACCAATATTGATTGTTTAACCGAAAGTGTAACACTGTTTTTGGATTGTACTGTGAACACGTATTTTCCAGCGTGCAGTTCTTAGCTTGGCCAAAAGTGTGATTTCGAGAAAAAAGAAGAACCAAAAAGTGAACTTGAAATCGTGCGAACCAATCTGTGATTAAGTGAAACTTACGTGTGAATTGCAACTATTACCCACCACATAAGTTGTTCTCGAGATTGTGTTGGGAGAACAGATTATCTCACTTTTGTTTGTTTGTTACATATACTACAAAATTATCCAACCGTTCCACCAAGTTTAAACTTTGAGAATACTCCGAAAACATTGTGATATTATTGCACCTAAACGGCTAAACCCCCCAACAATAAAGATTACCTCAATGTCAGATTAAATAATTACGCGTGGGAGGGTCAATAGAGCAGATGGATCTTTTGCCAAAAGGCTTAGGCCCTTTGCAATCGTATCATTTCTTTTGATACGAAAGACAAAACACTGGAAAGCATTTTCAAAGAGCATACATAGAAGTATCGCGTTGAATCTTGCAACGTCCAGCCAAAACTGAGACGTCATGATCAATATTTTCAGACATTTTTTCAAAATGTCGTCCAGGTAGTTCAGTAAATTCTTGGACTTCATTTCGATTAGAGTAAGGCGAACTTTTAAAAAAGTTTTACCCATTGCTTTGAAACTCTTATTACTCTAATTTTTCTAGCTATTTTAGGATGACGAACAAAACCACTCGTATATGTGTTTCATGAAAGCACCATCCTATGTGTCTATTCTAATGTACTCTGTAAGGACCATGTGAATTTTTGAGAATAAGGAGGACATTCTTGGTTAAACACTGACATTCTAATGCTCTTTGATAAAGGCAATCCTTAGACCACTATTAGCTTGATATGAGTTTCAAAATCATGCTGTATGCTTTGTGTGACATATGCAGCGTTTATGTTGACAATTTGTTTACCGCATGGCCATAAGGTTGGAGATTTTTCTTTGCTCTGTTCAAAGGAATGGGAAACCTAATGGAAAATTTTTCGTAATGTACGCGTTTATGGGTAAGTTTAATATTCGAAGGTACGAAGTTTTGTCAGTGGGTCTGTGGAACCCTTTAGAATCTGCATGTAGTCTGAGTGTTCCACCGTGATCTACGCAAGTAAAACTGAGACGCAGTTAGCATAATAAAATGTATGCTGATTATGAGGGGGGTTGTTCTTACATGTGCTATGTGGGAGGATGAATTAGCTAATCTAAAAGTGATACATTCAAAAGGGTGCGTTCTGCAAAGTGAATCCCATGCTGCTAACCCTTAACAAGAATTAGGCTTGTTGGTTTGGCACAAATCAAAATAATATTTTCTAAGAGCGAGTAACTAAATAGCAACGCAAATGGGCGCGGTGAAATGGGTTGAACCTATTTCGACGTCAAAGTAGCTTATAACGCAGTTGAATACTTGGAGGGCTACTTGTTTTTCCTAAAAAATGCAAATCGAAATCCAACAGTGCCACTCATATAAAAACATGTGGTTCACCTTCAGAAAAAACTGGCGTTTACCTTAACACCTTGGTTTACTTTTGTATGCTGAAAAATGTGCCAATAAGATCCAAATCATGGAGGTGAATTCCCTGCGCAAACAAGTACTAATAAAACTCCCAGGAAAGCAGCTTGCACAACATTAAACATGTCTGCAGAATTTTACCCGGAAACAAAGATACGATAACTTGTCACCAGAAAATTAAATGTGTTTGCCAATTACATCAGCATAATTTTATGCAATACATTTTGTTCGATTGGTGCGCACACGAACGTGCACTTGATACCTGCAAATGCCACAAAAAGCGTAGTTTCTCCGCCTGTCAAGTTTGTGCCAGACAAAACACACCACCAGAACAAGTGTGCCCCGACATAAACCAACACTCCAGCTCTTGAAAACGAATCCCTAGTGGTATGTGCGAAGGACCTTCTTTGTAAATGATTCCAATCGAGTGAACACAGCAGGTATAAATGAGTTTAAAAGAAAATGCGATCGCAATTTTCGTCCTCAATTTATACACCCGAAGTAAGAACATCTGTTTATTGCAACTTCGCCCTGTGGATGCGTTAGATTAGTGTGCAACGCAGTTGACTGTGTGTATGCAACTCTCAGAATGACAAAATGCACAATATTAAACCTGCCTGCAGAATGATGACCAAAAAACTCGATAAATTGTCACAATTAATTGAAAAACGTTTGCAAAATGCATCAACAAATTTTTGCAAAATAGATTCCCTTCCTTTGTTATGCAGACCAACGCGAACATGATACCTACAAATGTTGCACAAAGCGCAGTTTTACGCATGTCAATTTTGTGCCAGACAAAACGTGCCAGTTAAGTCAAACTAGTAGTGATAACAACTATGCCCCGAAATAAACGACAAATCGAGCACACTACAGCCTTGAAAACAAAGCCCTGGTGGTATGTGCAATGAGATTTTTTTGTAAGTGATTCTGACCCACTAGATACACAGATATTGATGGCTTTAAAAGTAAATTCGACCACACTCGCACTTTTGGGCCTAAATTTTTACACCCGTTATAAGAACATCTGCTCATTTTGAATTCACCAGGCGGATGGGTGAAATTAGGGTACATCGTTGTTGACTGTGCGTGCGGAACGTTTTGTTCGCACGTTTATCATGAATAAATACAACTTGGAAAATTACCTTCGTTGTCGTCTTTATTGTAATACGTAATCAAAAAGCGCTGCCACTTCCCGCTGCGGAGCAGGATATTCCACTATATCTCAGCTTTAGCACTGAAGCAGCGTGAATCAAGCAGGGATTGTTGGGAGCAGGTCGTATTTGATGCAATTTCTGAAGAAAAACAATATGCCTTGTCCATCAATAATTGTAGTTTGCAGCCAAAGCAATGGTTTCCATTTTGTTTTGTCACACATCTGACAGAGGAAATCTTTCTTCATGGAGCGCGAATTAATGCGACCACACATCCACAATAAAGTTTATCGCTGAACCTGCATCCACAGATAGCAGCATTTATGATTTACACTGTATTTTGGCAATTGTACGTTTCTCGGGGAAGCCGCAGCTTTCTTCTAACGACACAAAACAAACCACAATCAGGAGCTTCCTCTAGTTATACTTGAACACAGTGCCCTAGT